ATGTATATATATATACCTATATATATATACATTATATACATAATCACTAATACAAAAATTGATTGCAGACTGGAAAGACACAACACTTCAAATTAGGCCAATATACACGTGAAAGATACAATGCTTCTTTACCAAGAGCTTACGCCAGTGACTTCTTCTATGTACAAACAACCGACGTTGACAGAACTCACATGTCAGCTCAATGTAATGTCTTGGGGCTCTTTTCTCCTACAGCAACAGAACAATGGAATCCTGATATAGCTTGGAGTCCAATTCCCATTCATCCATTAGATTCGAATGTCTTAGCTGCTTTTCCCAACTGTGCAGCCTACTCTAGAGAACATTCCAGAGTTTTAGAAAAGGAACCATACTACAATGATATCGATAAAAAGTACGCAGATTTGTATGATTATCTCACAGTTCACAGTGGCGTTAATGTAACGTCTCTGAGTGGAGTCTCGTCTATTTTCGATAGTCTGTTTATCGAAAATGAGTTTGGCTACACCTTACCATCATGGACTGAAGAAATTTTTCCGGAGCCTTTGAAAACTGTGGCAGGATATTTGTTCCAAAGTTATGGTTACGGCACCAAACTGGCACGTCTGAGTAAGTGGCGTATCGTGTCTCTCCCATTTTATTGATTTTATTGCATTCATTTAAAATTCAATTATTTTTTGTACCATTATATTGCCATAAAAAACGGTTCAACTACAAAACCCGGAGTAGCAATAAAATGTTCAGCTCATAACTTCGCCATTCCATCAACAACCTCACCACTTCATGTTATTTCATGTTTTTGCTAGCGATTGATGAAGATAACAATTGATTCCATCTGGTTCATGATAAACATTGAGTTTCACAATTTTTACATCTTACACTTCATGACATCATCAACCAAACTGATAGCACCCGACAATCAATAACAGTTTCATCAGAATGGCTTCACCCCAATCCGCCCCCATAGTTCAGATCCTTCTTATATTCTTCAATGTCCAGAAATAGCGACAGACAACCTATGTGGTTTCTTCATGAAGCCCACCCGAAGAGATAAAACCTCAGCACTCATACCCCATACACTCCCCTACGGCACGACCTTGTCACACAAACTCTACGCTAATTCACTATCCAACATTACGCTCATACCACTCCAAGGTACAAAGACAATATATATGAGTATTTCTGCCTCAAGTTTGTCTCGATTTCAAGAACGTACATGTAGTGACATATCGGTTGAGCGCATCCACTTCTCAAACAGGTCAAAGGCGATTCGATTACGATAGACGGGACTTTTGTTTCGGAGAAGACTGAAATAGTATAGGGTTTTAAGTCGTCTTCGAAATCGTTTAGTATTTGTAGGCCACCGCCAAAAGCTATGTGGCTTCGAAGCCACAACGTAAAACGTAGAGAGCTTTTGAGTCACAAAATGTAGTCTAGGAAACTCATAGACATATAACTACTTGAGAATACAATTTCACATCTGGTTTTTCGAAAAGTAAAGAAATAATCATAATGAAAATATAATTTGAGTCATTCTAGAACCATTTCTCATTTTGGAAAGAAAGGTTCAGTTCGAGTACTCTATATTTTTTTCCTTAAAATAAATGATTTTCATATTATCTTCAAGTCAATGGTAGTCAATGGTACTTAATAGTAAAGTCAAATGGTACATTATTCAACAATAGATGAAAAGCCTGAAGTGAAACCATTCCGACAAAATTCAATCTGATAAGCACACCGCCATGATATTATGACGATATACCAATTTGATTCCACAAAACAAATGAAACAATCACGTGTCATAACACGCTCAGTTGAATTTTGGAGCAGGTGTTGTAGTCAAAGACAAAAAGTTAAAACTTTTTCCCGTTCAAGTTTTTGTGACGTCATTAGCTCTTCTTCAGGAACTCTGAAATTATTAAAATGAATTTGGTGAAAACAATGAAACTATCACGTGTTATAACACGCTCAGAGAAGTTTAGAACATGTTATAAAACACAATATTTTCAAATCTATAATCTGGATATATAATACGAACAGCATTATTGAATATATCATCACCTCGACACGTGTTTCGATCACCAAGTGATGATCTTCAAGAAGAAGATCACACTAATAATACTCACAAAGTTATCCTTATTTATGCCATATACACCTCTTTCAGGTACCTGCGTCTTAAGTGTGTTGAATTAATTATCTACTAGTCTCAAATTAATTTAAAATGTGTCCTTATGTAATAACAGGTAAATTTAATAATCAAAATATTATTTTAACAGGCTATATAATAGTATATTATATACCTAGGGTGAAAAGTAAGCTATTATTTACCGAGCATTTTTATATAACGTAATATAATAATGGATATAATGTGTGAGGTAAATAATAGCTTTCTCAGCCGAGGTATATATAGAATTTTTTCACTACTAACATTGATATATTAACAATTTTGATTTTGGCATTAGTAATTTTCTAACAATTTGTTGAATATTTCGGAATATCGAGTAGAGTGGAGCGTGTTTCTAATCAGACTGGCTTTCTTTATGTAAAAATTTGGCATGTGTCAAATTTTGATATGAATCTAGGAAATATCTCGTTGCATTTTTGATATATTTCAATGTTCCACTTCTCTCATCGCTTCTGTATGTTCAGAACTTAGAATTTCTCAATTCTGCAGTATAGTGAAAAAAAATTTCCTTGGCTATATGATAACCCAAGGCAGCTATGAATTGTTGCATGTGAAATTGAAACGGTACAGTTTTCATGTTGAATACGCGATGTCGACGATAAGCGCGCAACATCTACTTAGGCCATGAAAACATTTGCCGACGTTTCCATGACAACAAAACACTGTACAATGATTATTATTGCTGTCAGTTTGCCAAATGCGGTTTTAATTCAAATTCAGATGTCATTTTGAAGGAGTTAAAAGATCTATATACGTAAAACGTCAATATAATTAATTGAAAAATGGGAGAAAATTCAAGTGACGATGATTTAGAGATGATGTGTACCCCGCCTGATTTGTCACAATTGTACAATTGATTATAATTTCAGATAATTCTCAAGCGTATTTCCAATGTTCAATTTCCTACTTCTAGTTGATGATTAAGTTCACAAAAGTTTTTGTGAATATTTTTAAAATTATAGAATTGTTTTCATTATTTACTTAGGTGGTTTTTCATTATCATTATTTACCAAGGGTGAGAAATATTAATTCTCGTTAGGGGAATGGAGTAAATAACAACAATTTCTCAGGTTAGTAGTGAAAAATAGTATATTTTATATCTAGGGTGAGAAGTTAGCTATTATTTACCGAGTATTTTTATATCCTGAGGCGCGTAGCGCCGAAGGTGAAAATTCAAGTGACAATGATTTAGAGATGATGTGTACCCCGCCAAAAGTTGAAATTATAGAATTGTTCTCATTATTTACCTAGGTGTTTTTTTATTATCATTATTCACCAAGGGTGAGAAATAATAATTCTCGTTAGGGGAATGGAGTAAATAATAGCAATTTCTCAGGTTAGTAGTGAAAAGAATTAATTTCACTACTAGTCTCAAATTAATTTTACAATGTATCCTTATGTGATAGTCTGGTAAATACAATAACTAGGATATTATTTCAACAAGCTATATAACATTGATTTCACAATGTTGCCTTATCTACTAGTCTTAAATTGATTTCACGATTTGTCCTTATGTAATAGTCAAACTAATCTAATAATCAAAATATCATTCTAACAAGCTATATAGTATACTGTTATATATTGGTCCACCATTGTTATACATTATATTATTATGTTTACTTATTTCTATACTCTCATAGGCATCTAGATGCCTGTTCTTAATTTGTAAAACTGATCTTAATGAACTGAAATCTATGTTATGGTTTTGTCGCAAAATATGATGGGCGACTGATGATTTTTCAGGTCTTCCATATCTTGAATGTGTTTTTGTATATCATATTTTCATAGATCTTTTTGACTGTCCATAATAATTTGCATTCCAGTCCTTACATTTCATTTCATAAATTCCAGACTTTTCCAAATTCGCGACTTTGTCTTTGGGATTACCTAAAAGGCTGTAGTATATGACTTGTTTTGAGAACCACCTTCATACCTAGTTTCTTGAAAATCTTTGCAAAGTTCTTCGTGTATAGGTATAAGATATATTCTTCATGGTTTTTGTCGATTCAAAAGTCAAGATTTCGTTGATTCTCAACCTAAACTTTTTCTTTCTCGAGAAACCGTTAGTGGCTGCTATTTCCTGTGTTGAACGTCTTTCTTTAGTGATCCTCTCATGTGTGAGAGGAAAAGTCAAAAGACGATGCACAAGAAAATTCATCCCAACACGTTTGTGCTGTTCGCAGTGATGTGAACTGTCAGGAATTTACCTGTTTCTTTTCTGAATTCATCGTCTTCTAGCCCTCCATATCAGCTTCTCATCACCAAAACGTCAAGAAATGAAGATTGTCCTTCATTTTCAAACTCATTTGTGAATTTTATTGATGGAAATCTGTTATTTAAAAAGCCAAGGGGTTACCCATAGCTGTTTCCTCCTTCCAGGAGAGAACGGTATTCCCTTGTCCCCCTACCTGGAAAACCAGTATGAGCAGATTCCAAATGGAAACCAAAAAAAAAAGTTTCAAGTATTCTCCTAGGATATGTGATGTTTTCGCGATATTCGATAACAAAAAATCGAATATAGAGGACTTTGTTTCCTTTTTTAATAACGGATTTCCACCAATAAAAAATCTACTGTGATAGCAAAACATATTGTGATATATTTTTTCATAGTTTGTGAGTTTGTGAGATGTAGTTTTTGAAATTAGAAAAGAAACAAGCACGTACATGTATATTCCTGAGAGTTCACATCACTATGGACAGGGTTGTTGTAGATTATATATTGAGGAAGAAAAAGTTTAGGTTAAGAATGAACGATATCTCGACTTTTGGAATCGACAAAAACCAAGATAAATATATCTTTCACTACCACCAATAAACGAGAAATTTTGAAAAGATTTCCAAGGAACTAGCTATGGAGGTGGTTTTTAAAACAAGTCATATATTACATAGCCATTAAGAAAATTCAAAAGACAAAGTCGAGAATTCGAAAAAGTCTGGAATTTACGAAATTGAATGTAAGGACTTCGATGCAAAATATTATGAACAGACATAAAGATCTATGAAAATAAAATATAAGGTACACTTAGCACACTTAAAATATGGAAGAACTGAAAAATCAGCAGTCGCCCATCATATTTCGCAACAAAACCATTCCATAGACTTCAGGTCATTGAGATTAGTCAGAAAAGTTAACAATAACAGGCACCTGGTTGCCTATGAGAGTGTAAAAATTAGTAAACATGATAATATTATGAATAACGATGGTGGACCAATACCTAACAGTATACTATACAGCTTGTTTAAATAATATTTCAGTTATTATATTTACCTGACTATTACATGAGGACATATTGTAAATTAATTTGACTAATAGATGAGGCAACATCGTGAAATTATTTCAAGACACTCAAAACGCAGGTACCTAGAAAAGGTATCTATGGCATAAATAAGGACAACTTTGTGAGTATGATTAGTTTGATCTTCCTCTTGAGAATGATCACTTGTTGGTCGAAACACGTGTCGAGGTGTTCAAATAACGGTTTGGTGTTGGGAAAAAACTCCAGTTATAAACATTCTATCGTTATAATTTCTTTTGAATTTCACTACAAAATTTTCAGGTGCTGGAACTTTCTTGAAAGAAGTTATAGAACACTTTGAAAACAAGCAACAAAATATTCCCAGTGCTCAGTTTTTCCGGATGTATAGCGGCCACGACTTCAATATTGTTCAAATACTATCAGCTCTAGGTGCATATGAGCCTCACGTCCCATATTTTGCAAGCACCATCTACTTTGAGTTGTGGAAATCTTTTCTTGGTACTTACCACGTCAACATTTATTATAAACAAAAGGACGTTATCAAGAAGATCACACCAAAAGGATGTTTTCAATTTGATTGTGGCCTCAGAAATTTGAAAAAACAACTCCGTGATGTCCTCATTGACACAAATGATAAAGCAAAAGAATGTAGTTCATGAATATGTCTTGAATGGTATGTATAAAACAACTCAAATATATTAGTACTCTGCACTGTAGTATTATTTTATTCGAATTAGATCAGTCGATAACTAATTGCTTGGCAAGTCCCATTTATGAAATCATTTCAGTAGGTTCGATCGCTGCTCTGAATATTTGCCGTTGGAATCCATCAAAATGATAGTGGTAATGAAAGTTTCTTTTTCGCCACCATCTGATTCATTTCAATGAAGCAATTAGTATTTAAAAATTTCGTACTTTGCATTGAATAGCAACAGCTAAATTATACAAACCCGAAAAATTCATAGTCTGTTTATACCTAAAAGAAAATCGAATATTCATCAGTTATTCTATGTAAATGAAGTTAACAAAATCCCGATACAAAAAATAAAACTAAAAAAATCAGTAAACGAGTTGAAATTCTACTACATAGTTGCCAGATCGGTCCTAAGTATGGAACTTTTGAAAGAAAAAAATTGTAATAGCAAACAAGAAGTTCAACAAGGTATACTAACCTGTGAAGTCAATATAAAATTGGAGATTGAAAAAATATTGAACGAAAAAATCAAGAAGTTGAAAAGATATATTAAACAGGTGAAGGAGAAGTTGAAAAAGTTAAAAAAACATTGTAAGAAGAATATTGTTATATTTGGACTTTCAAACGGAGAAAATCCAAATACGCTATTGGGTACCGAAATCGATAAGCACCATTTCAATTATATATTCAGATTGGGAATAACTAGAAGAAATTCTAACAATTTGGCATTTTCATCCACCTTGTCAAAGATAACTATCTCACAAACTGTAGGAAACTGAAAGGGACTAATATACTTATATCAATCCCTGATCTGAAAATCTGAAAATTATCAACTTGAGCTGTGCAAAGGTAAGGTTAAGGCGGATTGAGATTTAAGACAGGTGTTAAAGTAGGGTGAACTGAAGATCCAACATGAATCCAACCAATAATGCACAAGTGATAAGAAATAAGAGTTCAGAGAGTGAGTTTTTGTTGTTTGTAATTATCCAATGGAATTTAAGATCTGAATCTTGTGCAATGTTGTAATCATTGTGATGAATAAAATAACAGTTATTATTCAGGTATATTTTATGTAGGAAAAACACTGAAAAGATTGGAATTGAATTACAGAATATATATTCGGAAGAGAAATATTTTAGGATTGAGAAAATCTTGGGGTTTGGTTAGAAATAAAAAATTGTCGAAAGAGACAACTGCTTTGATGAGCCGATTTTCCATAGTTTGTTTCTGTATTTTTTGGTAACGTTTAACAAAAAACTTGTCGATTTTGATATTGCACGTAGCTTTTGCATTCCGTTACGACCTTCACAGCATATGATATCGGCGTAACTATATCTGAAAAGTAGAATATGCTATCACTTTGATCGAAAATAAATTCATTCACTTCTCATTACCAGATTTAGCCATCAAGTTTGATTTGACTTCGAAATAAATGCAAGGTTATTATCTGTCGACGTCATGCTAGACGGATGTGTGTGAGGTACCCAAAACAGATGCGTAGACTCAACACATAACATTTTACAGGAGAACGGACTGACATTTTTCACGCATATGCATGTCTAACGTGAACTACCACATATTTAATAATGATTCAAAATGCTACACTATATTTTTTTGAAATATATGTAACGGTCTAAATTTACTTGTAAATATTGTAGATATTGTTCGTTTATCTATTATGGAATCGACAGATTCCATATAATAAACGAACTTTTCGTCACAGCTAGGGACACATCTGGTTTGCCAGTGTGCCTAACCTACATTTTCAAAGAGTTTCCGTGATTTTTCTGTAAAAACAACGGTGTTTTCACCGCCATTTCTATTGTATCTCGTGTATTGCACAGATATCCAACTATTCTACTAGATTTTCCTACGATCAAAAATACTTATTTTCTATCTTGCTACCCTATTGGTACAAAATAGTGCAGCAAGTTGTTAATCAACGTAGTCAATTTTTTTTTTTCTAATGAGATTGATAAATCGAGAGGAAGGAAGAAAACGGAGGCCCTCTCACTTTTTGGAGATCGGTACCCTTTTCTGTACGTGATAGTTAGCATTTTCCAAATAGACATAAATGTTTCCTCAAACATCCTGACAGGAGTATGTTTATTTGGATAAATAATAAGTGGAAAGTGTGTATTGGGTATTGTTAGGAGGATTAATAAAGCTAACTATACTGGCTATCGAAATTCTAACGTTTACATAAAATCATAAGAAGATCAACAAAACAAAGGCGCAAGGTTCTGCCTCTTAACATTCACAAAGTTACGTATACGATCAGAAACAGAAAGGAGGAAAAAAAAACAACTCTTCTGAAAAGAAGGGTTGTTTGGTACGGCTAGATTTTGGATGACACTGATTCTTGGAAGACAGAAAATTGAATCATTTTGTACAAAACTTTGATATCATTGTCCTAACCGTAAGTTTGAATATTTTCTATGTTCAAAATACCAGGTTATAACAATATCACGAGTCAAAATGTAACCAATCAACAGATTATGATTACATAGTACACTTTACCAGTTCATGACTATTTGACGCATTACGTCAATTCCTATAGTATACTACCATTATCAATATTTTTTGGTATTTTATATGTTAAATATATTGTTATTTTTGTTTTATATATATATGAACCTTGGAAATTATTTCACACCTAGATGAGTTTTTATTATTGAAATAGCAATGCGTGTTGTTTATGCAAAATCACGCACAAGCTTTATAGCTTCAGTGATGTACTTATGTTCATTTCTGAAACTTATGTTCGCAAGTCTCCTTTATGCTATTGAATCTCTTTTTTTTCAATGAACATTATTACTATCAGTGTGTTTGGTTTGGACTCTTTCATACCAGTTCAAATAGCAAACATCTGTATCGCTCTCTTCAGTTTTCTTAGGCACTGCAATGGTGTAGTCGTGAAGGATTTTGAAATTCAATATCAGACAAGTCGATATAAATTGATAATTAATGAATAATACTTCATTGTTAGCAATTCACAAAAAAGTGACTTGTGATTTCATATGTACAGTAGCTCCAGCACGAGTATTTTGAATATACATATATACAAGGTACTGCGCGATGACCGTTGGTTAACCTATTTTTGGGAATAGTGGGATTAATTTCTTGAACATTGGCAAATATAAGTTTTTTGATATGCTCCATCAGACGAAAATGATAGCATTTGGTTATACAGTCGGTACCAACTTCTTTGATTCAAAAATAAGTTCCAAATACCTGGCATAAATCTAATGTGAATGTATCTGATACACCTATACCAAAAATGAACCGTTCTCGAGATATTCATTTGTTCACTCATAAAAACTAGGTATTCGCCTCCCGATTGTTCCCTCATAAAATTGAAAAGTTTGATAGGAAACATAAATGAGCTATCACTGTATCGTCAGAAAACTTCATTTCATCGTCTTGTAGAAGTGATATTCCAAAAATGTTATATGAGTTGTTCAAAATCGATGACTAATTCTGAAAATAAAAAAATGGGAAAAACTCAGTCTTTTTCAAAGGGAACATTTTAGTATAGTTTTGAAATTCCAAGATGATTCTTCTTCGTTCTCATGACAGAATTCCTTTATTAAAAATCATGCGTTCACGAGATATTTTAGTTTATCTAAAAATAAAAATAAAACATGCGCATGCCTACCATAAAACTAGGGGCTACAAAATCTGCATTCCGAATAGTTACAGAAAGTTTATTGAGGCTATTAATTTAACCATCTGGACAGGGAGATAGGATTTCAGATGAATAAATAGTGAATGGCAAAATGCTCATTCTAAATGTGACATAAAAGCTCGACAATTAAAAAATATGGCACTATTTTTCTTCAAAAAATTTAAAAATTGTTCCAAAATATGTTCGAAGATATTTCCAATGACTTTCAGGCTTCTTCATCAAATTGTTATTTACAGCATTTCATCGATATTTAGGACGTTGTATGCTTGTGAAACTCATCTCACCATATTTTCCTTGCTCGTTACTGATCTGCATATACAATACTTTCGATATGTCCCCATACATAATAATCCATAGGAGACAGATCGAGGGAACGTGCTGGCCAGAGGAACGGACTATTATAGGCCTTACCATTACTGTTATTTTTAATACGCCTACATTCCCGCAATTAGAAGACGGTAGTAGTTATCTTACCACTAGACTGGATACAGTCCATCCCGTTCTCTGAAGTCCATCGAGTTCTCTCAACCCTTAGGTGTAAAGGTGACATAGGTACGTGAAGACTTGCCAAAAAGGCTCAAAGTTACTACTGAGAACAATGGATTGACGTAAGTTCTTGTACACTCTTGTTAGTTCTTGTAAAGGATATCAGCAATGACCGGAAGGGTGTTGTCGTCGACATCTTCGACGAAGAAAAATGTCAAAAGGTCCTTAATATACTCTGAGGGTTGAGAGAGAAAACAATGGAATGAGGTAACTTCTTGAGCAACCCTGTTGGTTTTGATTGTCAATGACCAGAATGGTTTGAAAAAGAAGTGCCAAAAGGGCCTTAATTTAGTAAGTAACCCCTTTGGGGTGTATAGAGGGTGTTTTTTTTTTGTTAAAAAAGAGGTTCGAAGGAGACCAGCCGAGCCTAGCCCCGCCCACATGATATTTTTTGTGACGCATTCGGCAGTTTAATGGAAATTGAATTGACCTTTGGGGTCGTAATTTATTTACATTAATAGTTAATTTTGGTTCATTTCACTGATAATGAACTATAAAATGAGCTGTTTTTGAGGTTTTAATTTGAATGAACAAAAAAGTAGGAAAATAAAATATGTAATTCATCTACATTTTTTATTAATTGTGGAAAAGTGGAAAATTAACCATATTTTTCAATAATACTTTGTGAACCTTGTTTTCATACTTCAACAACGAATTATTTGGGTAAGTATACATAACAGATTTCTGGTAATGTTAATTATTTTTTTGAATGAGTATTTGCATATTTATAAAAACCTTCTGTAGTTTGCCACCAAACATCTTTGTCAGTTATGGATGGTTTAT